GGCTTGGGTGTGCGTTGAAGCAGCTTGCTGATGTCCTGTGTGTCTTGGGGTACGGATGCCTGAGATTTGTGGGATTTTTTGCCCATCTCCTTCGGCTCTGGTGTCTGCGCTGATCGGGTGTGAGCCACTCTGTATTCTGGCTGGCCGCTTGGGAGGCCTTAGAGGCCGGCATTTCTGCTTTGCACCCTGTTGCAGAAAGAAAGGCATCGACATGTGCCGTTTGCTCACCCAGAGCTGAATCTGGTCGCCTTGGCTCCTGAAATGGTGTCTGTGCCGTTCGCCCGCTAGGCCCCGTCACTGGCTTTTTATGTGACCATCTGCCCTTTGCCCCTGGCTTTTGGAGGAGCCTGATTGCCAGCCTTCTGCCTTATGACTATGGCCCTGGGGTGTATGGCCGTTTAAAAACATTATCTGGGCATATTGGATTGTAACACACTTTTTCTGCCCCTTTAATTCCATGAGAAAATGTGCCTCTTCCCTTCCCCTTTTTTCCTGTCTATTGTTTTTCCAGCAGGGCGTTGTCCCAGGGACACTGCCAAACCAGTTTAAACTGGCTGCTTTGTCCCTCCTCAATCTCTCATCAGCCCTTGCTAAACTTTAACCCCAAGCCGATTTTATTCTGTTCGAGGGATCTGAGCGCTGTTCGGATATATTGAGCGCTCAGATCCAAACTATCTGGGGATAGGTGAATGTGGGGGTTCTGTTCAGTATAATAGGAATTATGTATTTTTTTATGTATTTTTACTGTTGTTGTAAATGGAGACATTCCCTGTACCTGGAGATAATTAAGTTACCACACCCACTTAAGCCAATTATCTCCAGGATAGAGGAGAAGCCTAAATCTGTGGAACTGTTTTGTGCAGGAAAGCCATGCTTGCAGTCGGTCAAATAGGACTTCTACCTAACTTTTGAACCACTGGACCAATTTGTATAATTTTGACATATGTTTGTGTACTGCTTATGCTGGTACAGAATATTTTTGTACTTTTATGTGAATTGCATGGATGGTTTGGAAGTTATGAATATTGTATAAAACTGTATATTTTCCTGCCTGTGATAATTAAGTTAACCCATTGTGTTTAGTAATTATATCACAGGCAGAGGGGAGGGTTTGTGTGCCTGGGCTGGGAGTGTCTGACTTTACTGTAATGTATTTGATTGTTCCACAAGGCCCATGTGGGTGGTAACCTTGTGGAAAAACTTGTATAAAAGAAATTCCTTTGGTGCTCATTAAACAGATCTTCTTGTACCTTCATGAAGTTTTCGGCTTATGTTTGGGGGATTGGAGAATTGCCTATACTCTGGGGATTGGTATAATCACACTACTCCCCAGAGTAAGCTCTTGTAAGAGCTTGTTCTTGTTCCTGGTTCCTGTTCTCTGGAATTAGGAGAGGTCGACCTACTGGAAGCTGGTCTTGGGTCC